GGCACTTGCAACAGACATAAGCTATATAGCTAATGAAATCAATTAACACAAACCACAACAAGAACAGCATCACCAAACAAGACAAAGATCAAAACTTTTACAAAGTCTCGTATCAAAGAACCAGCACAGCTACATGAGGAACAAGAAACATTACTCGTAATCAAACAAACCAAAGCCCCTATTGGTTATCAAAGCCGCCAAGACAAAACAAAGAACAAAACTTTTCATAGAGAAATCAGACCAGAACTAAACAAAACAGAGAGAGATCCATTCAAAGACTCGATTTTTCATCATACCCTCCAAAGAGAAAGATTCAATTTGACATAACAATGAACAAAAACACACAAATATAAGAAGAAAAAAAAACAACAACCCACCAAATTCAATCGATCTGAGAAGGTTTTGGTTGAGATTTGAGAAGAAACGCTTAAAATAAATAAGAAAGACCAATGAAAGAGGAAACTGATTTGAGGAGAAAAGGAAAAAACAAAGAGAAGAGAGAAAGAAACCAAACCACTTTTGTTTCTCGAGAGAGAAGAAGAGGAAGATGAGAATTGAGGAAAGCGAAGAGAAGCACACAAACCAAATGAGAATAGAATCCGCAAGATTATATTATTATTATCATCATCATCACAGTAATAACATATATATAAGAATGAAAAAAAATCACATTTAATCAAACATTTAAAAAACTGACAAAATTATAAATCAACAAATGGGAAAAGATGAAATTAAAAGACTGGAAATTTGGTTTTAGATAAAAAGTCAATAAAATAATTTAAGAACAGTTTCCAAAGCAAAAGAATTGAATACAAAAAATACACCAAAAAATAATAAAAACGTGAAATTGTCTAAGTTGGCAAAAGTAAAAACTGAGAAGTTGTTTTTGAATTATCACTAGTAGGGCACGTAGGCACGTATCATAATGGTGTATGTCTTATTGATATACACGTTTGATACTATAGAGTATTATGATATACATGAAGTTTTTTATTTTAGTTAATTTTTAGGAAACTGATTAGATGTGAGATTTGTATCTTATATTATATTTTGAAATATATATATTTAATGGAAATATATTTTCGTGATTTTTATTTAATTTGTGTTATTATCATTATGTCTAAAAATATTTTATAACCAAATCTAATAAATTAGTTACTATTTTATGAATTGTGATTTTTTTTCTTAGAGAACATGAGTTATACTTCAAGAGGTTGAAAATGTATAAAATAAAGCTGGCTCTTTATTCTCATTTGACAAATTATAAAAATGCTTTTATAATAAATCTAGACACCGAATCTGAAATTTTAACTTAAATTTATCTAAAAATATTAAACTATAAATTTAAAGAGGTGTATTCAAACTAATATTTTAGTTATTTGTGTAAAATTTACAAATCATATATTATTTAGTCATGGATTTTACAAGTTTTTGATGAAATCTAGTATTATTGAACTAATGATTTTTAGACATTTACTTTAAATCCACTGTTATTGAAAACAGTTTATGGATTTGATTTTTAATGATTTTGGAAGATTTTAAGGGGTGTATTCAAATTACTATTGTAAGTGATTTGAGTTTTATAAGTTTTAAATGGTTTTGATGATTTTTAGGTATATGATTATTGTAAAATCTTTTCAAATTCTTTTAGGGAAGTTTGTGGATTTTATTTCTAATGATTTTGAAGGATTTGAGAGGGTTTCTTTATTTAAAAATACAAAATCTAAAAAATGTCATGGATTTATGTAAATTTAAAAATATTTTATAATAAATCATATGAAACTTTCTTTAAATCATAAAACTCATATAAAAACTCAATTAAACTCAAATCACTTAAGAATACTAGTTTTAATGAAACCCTTTTTAATCCCTTTAAGAAAAATTTAAAAACCTTTGTAAACACTTTAAAACTCCTTATTAACTTCTAAAACCTAACACTTATTAAATTTTAAAACCCTTTAAAAACATTGTAAATATTTTTTGTAAAGAATTTTATAAATATTTTTAAAAACATTTTAAAAATCCTTGTAAAAAAAAAGAAATATCGGATCCAAACTAAAAAAATATAGAAATATCCTAATGGGTCTGTATGTTTTTTGTAATATGTTCGTGTATACTGTAACATTTTCACATAAGGACTCGCATTTGTAAGAGGAGAGCGCATGTGATCTACTCGCGGCTCTCTCCTCTCTCTTCTGTTTTTCTTCTGATCACAAGTTTTTGCACCGAGTGAAGGGTTTCGCCGACGTTGATGAGAAACATGTGGTCCATGGTGTTTCATCCGCGATCTGCTGCTTTTACTCGACTTCACCATCTAAACAAAATCAAGGGAGATGGAGAGAGGGAAAGCTTCTGCGAGTCACTATCGAGGAGCTCTTCGATGGTGAGACGACGCAGAGTGGAAGAGGAAGACATCTCGGCGACGACTGAGGGAGAAGACGGTTTGATCTAGGGACTGGCGATCCTGGAGGTTTCTTGTGGCCGTCGTTCGATTGGGGAGGTTGACTTCGGCCGGATGAAACTAAATCACTGTCGACGGAACCTAGATCTACTCCCTACCGGGCTTCAATCTCATGGCAAAGCTGGAAGCATTCTCGACGACTACGGCTCGGTTTCTTCCTCCTCTTCAAAGCTTCTCTACCGTGGCAGAGAGGCAAACACATCCTGGATCACCTACTTTGTTCGATCCGCGTCATCCAGGCACACCGGAGGACCTGTTCCGTCGTGCGTCTGCAGTTCTTGGGTGGCGGCTGCATCGTATTTTACGATTGTAGATTAGCGTTTCGGGTGAAGACCGGTTTAATTTTGGTCTACCGAAACTAGATCAGTTTTGGTTTTTGTTTGGTTAGTTTGGTTTGATGTAATAGATTTGGTCCGACTGGGTTTTTGTATGGGCCTAATCCGGAAATATGTAAGCCTATTGGGCATAAGTTTTTTAATTTGAAAGCTTGTTACCAAAAAAAAAAAAAAATGTTAGTGTATACTGTATAGATTTAGTTTGGTTTGGTTCTTTTCGGTTTGGTTCGGTTTAGGTTGGCAGGACTAATTTAAAAATAATTTTTGAAATCAAATTGAATTTTGAAAAAATTGTAATTTCTTTAGAAAATACCCCCAACATTAGAACATGTTTTAAGAAAGAGGGTCAACGAGAAAAATACTCAGAAGCGGCGGCTATCGTGTGATGACGATGAAGGCTTCTTTCAAGGGAAAGTTCGATGTTGACAAGAGCAGTGGCACTGCTTCTCTTGCCTTCAACGCCGGTAATGTTAAGCTACGCGCCACCATGACTGATGCTGCCCTCGTCGCCGGCCCTAGCTTGAACGGTCTCTCTCTCGCCGTTGAGAAACCTGGATTCTTCATCATTGACTACAACGTCCCTAAAAAGGTCACTCCTTTATTCTTATTTCCAATTTCTGAAGTTAACCCTTTTAGTTCAAAACCTATAAGAACTGAGAAATAGATGAAATTGGTTCGGATTCTCAGATTACACAAGGTTCTGTTTGTATGGATTCTCTGAAAAAGAGTGAAATTGAAGTAGAAAGTTTCGGTTTTTATGATGGAGGACGTTATTCAAGGTTCAGTTTGTATGGATTCTTTGAAAATGAGTGAAATTGAACTAGAGAGTTTTGGTTTTTATGATGCAGGATGTTACTGAAGGTTCAGTTTGTATTGATTCTCTGAAAATGAGTGAACTTGAACTAGAAAGTTTCGGTTTTTATGATGCAGGACGTTATACAAGGTTCAGTTTGTATTGATTCTATGGAAATGAGTGAACTTGAACTAGAAATTTTTGGTTTTTATGATGCAGGATGTTAGGTTTCAGTTCATGAACACTGTCAGAATTGCAGAGAAACCTTTGAATCTGACTTATATTCATATGAGAGGAGATAACCGGACAATTGTTGACGGGAGCCTTGCGATTGATCCGGCAAACAAGTTGTCTGCTAATTACATGGTGGGAACGAAGAACTGTAAGCTCAAGTATACTTATGTACACGGAGGGATGACTACATTTGAGCCTTCTTATGACTTGACTAAGAATGTGTGGGACTTTGCGGTTTCTCGTAAACTTGATGCTGGTGCTAATCTCAAGGCAACTTATCAGACTTCGAGTAAAATGTTTGGTTTGGAATGGTCGGGGAACTCCAAATCGACTGGAACTTTCAAGGTAAATACTATTTTCAGTTCTCTCTTGTGTTCGTTGGGCAACTTCTCTTGGCAGGGTAGATTGAATTTTGCATATATCACTATCCCAACAGTTGACACTAGATACACTAGATTGAATTTTGCAGATCTGTGCTACAAAAGAAGCATATATGTGCAGTTTATGAGACTGTTCTTCTTGTGATTACATTTAGTTCTTTCTAGTAGGTTAAAACTTCTTAACCCATCCCATGCTGTTCATCATTGTTGCTTCTAAGAATTTGAGAAAGAGTGCAGTGATTTAAACTTGATATGATTTATGCGAAGCTGCTAATGGCATGGGTATGATCTTCATTAAATGCATAAAAGATCCATGGTGATCTTGGGGAGAGGGTAGATCAAAGAATTGAAATAGAATCCTTTCGTTATAGAAATAAGTTCTCTTACATGGCTTTGGAAGTTGGGTAGAATATCATATCAGGTTTTCCAATAGTTCAGAAACTGACTTCTACTCTATAATTGTTGGTTTGTTTGGGTTGAACATGTAAATGTGAAGGGGCAACTAGAACATCATCTCGAGATATCGTGAAAGAATGCCTGAATCGTTTTCTAGTACATTGTTCATAAGCACTCAGTCGTGGTTAATGAGTTTCTCTTACGGTTTCAACAGGTATGTGCCTCAATGAATCTAGCCGAGGAATTGAAGACGCCAAAACTGACTGCAGAAACTACATGGAACCTAGATATTTAGTTCCCTTTACATCCCAAAAAAAAGTCTCCATTCTTTTGGTTGTATAATGTGGATTCAAGTCTTGACAGAGGAGGATATCTAGAAAAATTTATAGTCCTTTCCTTGTTTACCATTGTTTAAGACTATAATGACCACAAAAGTTGCTATTTCTTATTAGTATTAGTGAGTCCACTTGATAGTAAAATAATACCCAAAAATTTAGAGTTTGTCAATATAGGTTCATTCAACATTTGCACTTTAGTGGAATTAAAGTACAAATCTACAGAAAAAACATACATACATAAGCTATTGTATAATTTTACTTATTGATTAGTGGAGTATACTAGACCAATAAGTGTTTATACATGAGAGTTTTGTTTTCATCACACTATTTTTCAAAAGTAATAAGAAGTAATTAACTAATTTATTATGTTACAAATTACATACATAAAAATAAATTTGTATGATTTGCTTATGTTTTGGTAGTATTTTATTTTGTTTTTGCTTATGTGTTGTTAGTTTACTTTTCATATCAAAAAGATTATTAGATGTTACTTAAATGCAAAATTTTGTAGATACAATGAGATGTAAATTTCATATTAACTTATTACATGTATGGATTGCGTTTGCAAATACAAATTTCATTCATTTCATTTCTCAGTAAAATATAACCATAGGAGGCTTTTAGATTCTTTCACACATTTTTATATATCTCTAATCTTAATACTAAATCCTCTTTTCTTTCTTTTGTATCATTTACTATTTAAAAATTGTCCAATTACATCCAAAATACGGGTACGGTTATGGTCATACCTTGCTTACCATCACAAACAATTCTACTAATTTGTTTAATATTCAAAAATATATGTAAATCATGGTCGGTGGGATTAGTTTATATATACATATCTATGAATTGTGGTCGGTAGGATTAGTTTCATTTTTTTTAATATATAAAGAATTAAATTTGATTCTCCGCCATTCTCACTCTTTCATAATTTTATCCGAAAACAGGTATCTAGAAAAACAGAAACAAATACGAATAGTAAAATTACGGATATTTCAGATATGGATAATGCGATTTTAAAAAACGTATAACAGATATCCGTTTTTTTTTTGAAAAACCTGGATATCCAGTATTTAGATTTGTTTTTCTTGCGGATATTCGTTTTTAAGGATACCCGGTATTTTCGGATACGGATACGGTTCTAAAATCACGGATAATACGGATGCGGATGCAAATTTAAAAAAAGACGGATATCCGCTCTGTTAACAGGTTAATCTCTAATATAATTACAAAGAAAAAAAAAATTTGATATATATTTGATATTTCCTATATTTAAATCATTTTCTTATAATTATATTATATAGTAATATACTACTATTTATCATATAATATAGTAATATACTACTATATTAATCATATATAATAAAAAAAATCCGGATGTTTGTCTATATTAATCATATACTGTAATATAATAATATACTACTATTTATTTTTCATTTTATTCTATGTTGATGAAGTTAATTTTATTTTAAAAGAAAAAAACAGATGAACAAGAGTGTATCTTCGACTAGGTCTGTGATCATACAAAACACGTTAAAGAAGTATCCAGAGATGCAAAATCTTTTTACTTGTTATTATATTATAATTCGTAATTTAAAATAAGGATAGAAGACTACTGTTAATATTTGCTTGGTTTTCAAGAATTGCTTACGATTGATCAAAGATCGTGAAAATGTTAGATATTGTAATGTGCACGTGCACATAGTATGTTTGGTGTACATATAAAAATATATTTTTCAAAGATATTTTTAGTGGGAGATGTAAAAAAGAATATGCACAATATGTTTTATATATATTTTTAGTGGGAGATGTAAATAGTATCAGTGTTGTAGCCTTGTAGGATATTTAAAAAAGGTTACGAAACGAATTCACAACCCTATAATAAGAAATTCAGAATGTTCAGATTTTTACAATAAGAACGAAAAACATATACATAAATGGTAAGGATCTTTAGTCTTAGGCAAAATTTCTCGACATAAATTATAATCCGTTTCATCACATGACCCGTGCTACACAATTATCATTAATACTTTAGTACATCCATTTTGTATCGTTTGAGTAGTATACATCCGTTTCTAAAACTTCAAATTGCAACATATGCAAAAAAAAAAAAAAAAAAATTTATCATACATATGTTTATGTAATAATATAAATTTTTAAAAAATGAAGATCATATAAAGATGTTGGAGATATATTTGATTTCTTAGGGAGAAATTTTAGGAAATTTTATTAAATGTAATAAATATTATTTTCTAATTTTGCAATTTTATTATGATTTAATTACAAAATTCATTTTAAACTTTTTCTATTTAATCAAATGGCAAGGGGTTAATTATAAAAATATCACAAAATGAAAGAGTAGAACACAAAAGGTAATTCAAAAATGTTAATATAGATGTATTTATTTAGATATTTACAATAATAAACATTTTAATTGACGACAAAAAAAAAACATTTTAATAAAACCCGAATATATGAAACATTTTGTGGTAAAAATGAATACATTGAAATAAAAAGATAACCCATATCTTTATTTTTTGTTAATTAAAAATTATAAAGTTAAACAAGATACAACACCTCTATTTGTTAAAAATTATTAATTTTTAGGTGTTTTATTAAGAACCATTCAATAGACAGATTTATTATCCTCTTTCTTATTTTTTTCAACAACAGATCTATTATTAATCATAAAGATTTGATATAGATATACAAACAGAATCAATTTCCAATCTGTTGTTTGCTTATAAAAAAATAATTAATCTAAAGATTTTTTCAACAAGAAATTTATTATTTAATTCATAAATCAGTATATTTTTTCCCATGTGTTGTTTGCTGAATGCTGATTACAAGAAAATTAATAAAATATACTTTATAGGAAGATTAAATAATATGATTATTATTATCTTAATTAAATGTTTGAAACGGTAACAGTTGAAATAAAACATTAAAATAAAATAAAAATTGAAAGATGTCACAGCCGCGAGTCGTTGAAGGCTAAAATCCAAACCAACCCCATTGAGAGAGAGAGAGAGAGCACTTAAGCTCTTCTTTAACCAAAACCATTCATGAATCCTTCTTCTCATCATCATCATCGTCGTCGTCGTGTTCATCATCCTCACCGACCTCACTCTGGATTCCGATTCTGTTATCTCCGTCCCTAGTTTCACCTTCCGCTTCTTCCGGCGATGATACCGGCTCTTCGTACCGGAGAAGCCAGAGCTTGGAGGTATTAGGGTTTTTTTTTTTTTTTCCTGCAACGGCGAAGATTTTGTTCTCGTTGATTTTTTCTATGGCGGAAGAGAATCGTAAGGATCGAGGTGTTTCGTCTACGGTTGCGATTCCATCTGGTTTGAACCGGATCAATACTCGGTTAGCTCCGTCGGGTCCTAGACCTGATGATTTCTCCGATAACGTTCTGAAGCCTACGTTTAATCGTAATCAGAAGAGTATTGTTCCTCGTGGACATGGTAGAACCACTAGCTCTTCCAAACAAGGTTTTGATTTGAAGATTGTTTCATACTAATTCATATATTTTTTTTCTCGTTTGGAGCAAGCACTGATTTAAAGAGTTTTGTAGTACTAAGTTAGAATCGTGTTTTGGTTTGTTTGATCAATTAGGTAATCTGAATTTTCACATGATCATAGTGAAAAAAACAATTGTTATCTCGGTTACATAAAATGAGAGATGTGCTTTTGGATATTAGAAATGATATTTGGATTTACATATCCATTGTTGATAATATTTCTTGCTGGTGATCACTTCTCACTAGTGTCGTTAACTCTTTGTTTAAGGAACAAAATTGTCAAGATGGCTTGCTTCGTATAAACCCAAGTATTCTTGTCACCCTCCAAAATATGTTTGCTCGAGCAATGAGGTAAATCGTGGTTTTGCTTATGTTAAGGTTTCAATCTAGGTTCAATGGGGAAGTCACTGGCTTTGAATTAACTGTCTTGTTTTGGTGACAGGATGCTAAGTTAAAAGTCAAGAACTCTGGTAAAGAAGAAGAGAGGATGGTCAAGGTTTCTGAAATTAATCTTCCCTCTTCCAAGTCAATGGGTATAAAGAGCTTTTCCCATGAGTTAGGGCCAAGGGGTGGTGTTCAAAATCCCTATCCTCGTCCGCACAGCTACAACGATCTAAAGGTACTCCAACAATCTTAACTTGTAGACTTTTCTTTTACTGAGCTTTTTACGAATTGTCTCAAGGTTGAGTACTGTTTCGTAAAAATTTAAGGAATTGCAGTAAAATCTGTGTGCCATATAGCTAGTCTAATGACTCATTTTGTTTGGGTCTTGTTATGTTAGTTGGTTCTATCTTATGGTTGCAATGATATTCAGGAACTTCTGGGCTCACTTCACTCAAGATTTGATGTTGCTAAGGAAACTGTTGATAAGAAGCTGAATGACTTTGTCATAGATGTGAAAGAGGCTTTAGAGAAAATGGACCCAACATGTCCTGAAGATCGAGAAATGGTAGAGGAGTTACTTAACTTGGCTCAAGCCTGTATGGAGATGACATCTGCCCAACTTCGTTCTACTTGTGAATCTATTGTCCAAGACTTGACTAGGAAAAGGAAACAGTGCCAAGCAGGACTTGTGAAGTGGTTGTTTTCTCAGTTGCTTTTTATATTGACTCACTGTACTAGAGTTGTGATGTTTCAGAAGGAGACTGAGCCAATTGACGAGAGTTCCTTCCGTAAATTTAAGGAATGTTTAGAAAGCATCCCTGCTTTGGAAACAGATTGGGCTACTCCTAGAGTTGATGATTCTGGTTCTGGTTATCCTAAATATCAAAGGAATGAAGCTGGTAAAAAGTTCAATAGACAGGACAAAGAATCTTTGGAGTCAGAGACAACTTTCTGTTCTGCCATACCAGTTGAAAATAGCAACAATGCTGATAGAGAACGTTATGCAGCTGCTAAACAGCGTTGTCCGTCGCAGAAACCCCAATTTGATAGTAAAGTGGTAGAACAAAGATTTTATTTAAGCGATGAGTATGAAGATAAGATGCCAAATGAGCCTGGAAAAGAGTTAGGTGGATCTGATTATGTAATATGCAGGATATGCGAGGAGGAAGTTCCTCTCTCACATCTGGAACCACACTCTTACATATGTGCATACGCAGATAAATGTGAAATCAATTGTTTGGATGTCGATGAGCGCCTTTTGAAACTTGAGGAGATACTGGAACAGATAATTGATTCACGAAGTTTAAATTCCTTCACTCAAGCTGGTGGCCTGGAAAACTCTGTTTTGCAGAAATCTGGAGTTGCGTCTGAAGGTTGTTCTCCCAAGATGAATGAATGGCGGAATAAAGGTGTAGAGGGAATGTTTGAGGATCTGCATGAGATGGACACTGCCTTCATAGATGAGTCTTGCACATATCCTATTAACCTGAAGAGCCATGTAGGGGCCAAACTTTGCCATCATGGCACTTCATCATCAACAGGTAGCATCACGTCAGTATCTTCAACAAATACCCCAAGAACAAGTCACTTTGACTCCTATTGGCTAGAGCGCCATTGTCCAGAGCAAGAGGATCTTCAACTGGTTAGTTATATATTTCTGCTATATTCTCTGTTTAGGCAGATTAGGTATTGGTTCCACGTTATATGTTGAACATGTGCTAGTCTACTACTGTCCCTTGCAATATCCATTCTTATATATTGAATTAGGCCTGCTGAGTTTTGGATATATATATTGGCTTAAATCAATTATGTGGTGTTGCCAGAATCTTAGAATCCTTAATGTCTTATCAATAAAACTTTGGATGCTCAAAATTTTGCGAGTTTTAATGATGTCATTGATAGGTTGAGAATTTCTCATCAGTTATTATAAACTCTCTTGGTTTTAGCTAGTCCCTAGCTTCAATACCTTTTGATTCATGATTTTGTTACTTGTTCATGGTGGGTCTCTATTCTTTAGATCATACAGATATCATTTTCTTACCTGTTTCACTGATCTTTTGTATAATTAAACATTTAGAAGCATAACATATTCCAGCTTCTTTTTTTATTTTGTAGATGATGGACCTTTCTGATATTGCCCGCTGTGGAGCAAGTACAGATCTCTCGAAAGAGGGGTCCTGCGACTATCTGATGGCCTGCATGCAAGACATACAAGCTGTCTTAAAGCAGGGCAAGCTGAAAGCACTTGTAATAGATACTTTTGGGGGGCGGATCGAGAAACTTCTCTGGTAAATTGACTGTGTTATAGAATACTTAACTACTGTACTCGTCCTATATGTTTTATTTACTCTGATATTACCTGCAGCGAGAAATATATATATGCTCGTGAATTGACTGCCGATAAAAGCTCAGCGGGTAACGTAAACGAGAGTGAAGACGTCTTGGAGCATGTGACAGCTACCCCACACTTACTGCTGAAAGATAGGATAAGTATCGATGATTTTGAGATCATCAAACCAATAAGTAGAGGTGCCTTTGGTAAAGTCTTTCTTGCACGAAAAAGAACAACAGGAGACTTTTTTGCAATAAAGGTAGATGCATTTTGTTTGCTTTGTTGCAGATTCATATGGTGTTTATTTTGCCTTCTGTAGTTTCTAATATGCACATTGCTATGAACCATATATTTTAATGACAAGAATAAAATGTAAATATAATTAAATTGGAGCTTTCTATGGTCCAATTATAGACAGCCTAGTTGTTGGTGTCATACAGCCTAGTTGTTGCCTTGTTGGTGTCATTTTGTTCAAACCTCTTGTAATGACAGTAGTCGTAAGATGGAATGGAATTCTTTGTTATGAAAAGCTCATATAAGTGAATCAAGCTAGTATCCTGGCTCCCTACGTTGTACTAAAATTGCTGCATTGTTATGCATATCCAAAATCAGTTTGTCCATGTGCTAATCTTATCTAACTCATATTCAGGTACTCAAAAAGTTGGATATGATAAGGAAAAACGACATCGAGAGGATACTGCAAGAGCGGAATATACTTATAACTGTCAGATACCCCTTTCTGGTAAATGTTTTACTTCTTTGCTACTGTCCAACTATATTATTCTTACAAAGGCTGAACACATGATCTTATTAATGCAGGTTCGATTTTTTTATTCATTCACCTGCAGAGATAACCTCTATTTGGTAATGGAATATCTTAATGGTGGTGATTTATACTCTCTGCTACAAAAAGTTGGCTGTCTTGACGAGGAAATTGCTCGTATATACATTGCAGAATTGGTAAGTGGGAGGCTTTTTATACATGGAATATCAAAGTTTGTTGGATTCTTTAAGAAACAGTTAGCATTTATTTCAGGTTCTTGCATTGGAATACCTCCATTCTCTGAAAATTGTGCACCGTGATCTAAAGCCTGATAACTTGTTAATCGCCCATAATGGGCACATCAAGGTCTGTTATTTAAGCTCTCGTATACCTAATATTTTTTTTTGCAGTAGGGTGGTCAAATGTTTTTTCCTTAATGCATACAAAAAAGTGGAAAAATGTCCTTCTTTACTTAATATAAAAGGAGAGTTAAATGCAGAAAATGCGCACACACAGACTTTTTTCCTTACGCTTGTACACAAATATAAAATAACCATATGCAAATATTGTTTTCCCTTTGCTTGACCACCTAACTTGTTATTGTTTTTCTTATCAGCTAACAGACTTTGGGCTTTCAAAGATTGGTCTTATAAACAACACAATTGATTTATCTGGCCATGGGTCAGATGTATCTCCAAGAATAAGTTCTCATCATTTTCCGAAGAACCAAGAAGAAGAAGGAATTCGGCATTCAGCTGTTGGGACACCTGACTACTTGGCGCCAGAGATTCTTCTTGGAACTGAACATGGTTTGGATACAACCTCAATGTTAATTTCTTAGGCTTTTCTGAAGCACTAGGAAACTATATTCAACGTCTTGCACTTGCAGGTTATGCTTCGGATTGGTGGTCTGTTGGAATCGTCTTGTTCGAATTGATAACTGGAATTCCACCTTTTACAGCAGCTCGCCCAGAGGTACCTGCATATTTTAATTTACTGCTGTAAAGCATAGTTTTTTCCTGTCTAGAATAGAATCTAGGTCTGGATCTGCCAGCAAGTTTCAAAGTCATAAAAGCTTAGTGGTATCATAATCATATGGTTTGATCAATGTAGTTCAATGTTCTTTAGGCATCTTAAAATCACAGAAATCTAATCAATTCCCTTTCAGAATAACACTGAGGATTTATATATACACATCTGATTAAACCATAGTAGCTTTGTCTTCTTAGCAAAGGATTCTCAAGATGATTCATTTATGATCAGTTACACTGAGATTAGCTAGTTTTCAATGAGTGTACAATTCACACAGACTCACCTTTTGATTGGTACAGATAATATTTGACAACATCCTCAACGGAAAAATGCCCTGGCCAGATGTACCTGGTGCGATGTCATATGAAGCTCAGGATTTGATTAACAGGTATGTTCTAAGGATTCTCAATCGTTCTCCCGTTTTCGTATCATTTTCAGTCTTATTCACGTGTTTCTATGCAAAATCAGTGTATCTCCTGCCTAAAAAGTAACATCAATCTTAGTTTCTTCATATTACTTACCTACAACATCAGCTGATTTGAAGGTTTTTTACTGGTTTCTCCTGTATTCATATAGATTCATTTCTTTCCGTAATAGGCTTCTTGTCCATGAGCCGGAAAAGCGACTCGGGGCAAATGGGGCTGCAGAGGTTCCATCACGTTTTCCTTTACTTTTTATTAATGCCACAGAATTGAGACACAATGACATTCTAGATACATGCTGCAACAGAAGGATGCTGATGTTGTTGTCATAGTTTAAATTCTCAGTAACAGCTCTGTTCTCATTTTCAGGTAAAGTCACATCCGTTCTTTCAAGGAGTTGACTGGGACAATCTTGCATTGCAAAAAGTGAGAACTCGACTCTGCATCTCTTTTTTTTTGCATTCAAGAAATATTTGATAAACAGATAATGCTAAAAAAATAAATGTTAGTTGCTGATGAAGAAGCAGAAGCTGCTTGATCGAATCAGGGTTTGCATAATTAAGTCATCATCAATGCACATTATGATTCAAGGGAGAAATGTTCTTTAAATCTTAGCTGCCTTTCCTTTTCTTACTTTTTGGCAGGCTGCTTTTGTACCGCAGCCTGAGAATATAGCCGACACAAGCTATTTTGTATCACGGTTCTGTGAAAACAGTTGCAGCGATAGTGAAACTGACAACAACAGTGGGTCATTTCCAGATTCAGGAGACGAGGTAGGCATTTAGAATCGCACATCCTTTTCTCTGTATGTACTTTTAATCATCAGAGTATATATTTGCAAACTGTTCGCCCTGGTCTTGTATATTTTTTAGTTGGATGAATGCACCAACCTGGAGAAGTTTGATTCTCCACCTTTATATCTCTCGCTCATTAATTTTTCTTTCAAGGTAAAATCGCAGCATAAAAACCTTTTAAATTTCAAAATATGAATCCCATTGTTGGATAAAAATCTCCAAAGTATAATCGATCGTTAATAAAACAGAATGTTATGATGCAGAATTTGTCGCAATTGGCTTCAATCAACCATGATGTGCTATTGCAAAAGGATTTAGCTAAAGGAGGAGGAGACTCACCCTTTAAAAGCCATGGAACGTAGAGCTTTGCTACAACCGTCAAAGCTGGCCTTAGTCCGCGGTTTGTTCTGGTTTGCGCCTGCTTTGACCGTTGTAGCTGCTGCTGCTACTATGCTGAAATTGTTACCTTCAGGTCTTTTGGGTAATTTATTTTTCAGCCTTGTCATAAATTCATTTGGAACCATTTCAAATGCAATTTCCCATATTAATTGCGTGGCAACACACACACATACACCTGTATATAAAGCTTGTGTGTATTGAGGCTGATAGAAAATAAGAGCTTAATATCAATACAAATTGAGAAAGTTTTTAGGAAACAGGTTCGGGCCATGCATAAGAGTGGAGGTACTAAACTCACTAACAACATGGTCACTCTTTTGTCAACCAACATTTGCAAAGACCCTAGCGACTCGTCACCAGGTTATAACCAAATTGGATCCAAGATTTTCTCAAACAAGAAACGAGTTTTCAATCTCCTCAAGTGGGGATGTCACGGACTTATTTCCGAAGACTTGTGCGGCACTCGATAATACCTAATATTACCGAGTCAGCGTTTGTGCATCATACCATCTTCGACTGGTTTCGCTCTGCTGTGGGCTCATTAGGTGATCGGCTTAAGATCACAACCAGTTTGTGCAGGGATGGCCTAATTCTTTTCTTCGTAAGTCTTATCCTCGATCAACGATGACACCTGAACATGTCGAGTGATTCCCGTCCAACTCCTCCGAAGAAACTTGTCAGCCTGAATTTTGTACGCCCTTCTCACTGAACCACGATATATGTTCCAGTCAAAATGGCCCCGCGGAAGCAATGCGACAGTCACAAACTGTTCCGGGAAAACTGTTCGTGACAAGGAGCTGCATTCAATCATACAACCTGATTTTATTAAAGCTATTTACCAAATATATCATCTCGTGCTCTAGCACCGATTGTCCCCTAGAATCAAAACAAAACAATGGGAGACTGAATGTTTTAGCTATACAAAATTACAAGCCGAACCTTTTGTGTTTTTTAAAATTGTATTTTATAATGGGCTATTTCTTGAGCCAAAATTTTTCCCAATCCATTATGAGCATCCCCGGCCATTTAGTTATGGTTAAGCTTCCATCCACTACTATTCATCCTAGATTACTACATTGTTCCAATTTATAGCTTAATCTATTTGTATTTGGCATTAATCAATTGGCAGTGGCAAAATAAATTGATCAAGAATCAGAAAAAATTCTGAAACTAGGAAAACTATCTATTAAGAAGACTTGATTCATTTGATCAAAAAAAAAAAAAAAAAAAAAAGAAGACTTGATTCTTTATTTGTCTGTAGAGAAAATAGTATCACCACTACAAAGAGAAAAGAACAAAAGCCACCAAGTTTTCAAGTTAAGGATCTAATACTAAGTAGAAGAAACACTTTTGGAATCAAATTTTGAATTATAAATAATAGAATAGTTAAGAATTTGATATATATATAATCAATATAAAGACTAAAACTATAAGAGAGAGTGGTATGGATTCTAACGGTGCATTCCATGAGGTGGAAAAAGATGGTAAACTAGTTTTGGTATACCAGCACCCCAAGTATTGTCCTATACCCACCAAAACACAGTCCCCAAGTTCTTTCCCCGATGGCCTTCCTCTTTTCTTATGCCCTCGAATACGGCGGAAGCAAAGCGAGGCTTACTATACCTATCCAAAAACTTTTCCGGTCAATTCTTCCCCCGAGTACTTTCCTACAACAACAAACTCTGATAATCATCATGTACTCCCTTTGTATTGGTGCAACAATAGAGAATCTGATGCAAATGGTGGATGCTATATATGCGAAGGCTCGAATTTTGGCACAGACTATTACTTTTGTAATTATTGTACCATAAAACTACACAAAGAATGTGTTCAGTCTCCACCTATAATCAAACACCCTTACCACCCTGAACATTCTCTCCAGCTTTTCTTTCATGACGATAGCAATCGCAAAATCAAGTGTTTGTGTTGTGGAAGAAGAGCACATTGGTTGGTTTATCATTGTACCATATGTTATGCTTATATGCATCCGATATGTGCGATGAAGCCAATACCCTTTGTTATAGACCCACCTAAAAATCATGTCCACCCTCTCACTTTTTTCGCTAGACAAACTTCATTAACTTGCAACATTTGTGGTATGTTGAGAAAAATTAATCCCACTTACGTTTGTTTTAGATGTAACTTTGTAGCTCATAATGATTGTATGATTTTCCCACACATCATCAAGATATCACGTCATCGCCATCGTATCTCCTTGACTCTTTCTCTCCCATCTAGAGAATGGTTGTGTGGAGTTTGTCGTTCAAGTATTAGCGGTGATTGTGCTGCATATACTTGTGACGCGTGTAGCGATTATGTTGTTCATACAATATGCGCTATTGGGAAAGATGTGTGGGATGGAAAAGAACTTGAAGGTGTACCAGAAATATTTGATAAAGATGATGGGCCGTTCGAGGTGATATCTGAAGGAGTGATACTTTATTTTCTTCATGACCATCATCTTCGACTCGAGGTTAGCATATTTTATGACGAAAACATGATTTGTCAAGCGTGTGTCCTTCCTATCTATGAAGGTAACTTCTATGATTGTAAGGAGTGTGAATTCATCCTCCATGAAACATGTGCTAAGGCTCCCCGTAGAATCCAACATGCGTTACATCCTCATCCACTTATATTAGAGGTTGCCGAGATGTATCCTTACAATACATTCCGTTGTGACACTTGTGGTCGTAATTCGATTGGCTTTGCCTATGGGTGTAGGAAAAGGGAATGTGACTTCAAGCTAGATGTAAGGTGTGCTTCAATATCTGAGCCGTTTCATTACGAAGGCCATGAACATCCTTTGTTCCTAGCTTTAGGTCCAGAAATAAAACCCATATGTCACGTATGCAAAACAGAATGTCTAAAACCATTAAATTGCATCAAATGCGATTTCATTGTATGTTTCAAGTGCGCTACCTTACCATACAAAGCAAGGTATAAGCATGACACACACTATCTTACGATTTCATGTGGTTCAGAAGTACGTGAGGAAGAATGGTGTGAAGTATGCGAACGTAGTTTAAAAGATACATGCACGAACGTATTCTACTGGTGCAACGAGTGTTTCACCACTTGTCATATTGAATGCTTAATTGGTGGAGACCCATATATAAAGCCTGGTCAGTACTTTAATAAATGGGTATATAAGGCTAAAGTTCTTCGCAAATGTAACACTACTCGACCATTTTGTAATTCTTGCAAGAAGCGTTGTCTAGGGAAAATATATGATTTAGGCTATCGTATTGCATGTTCATATGAATGTATTTAAACATATTTATCCATCCCTATGAATGAATAAAGTACAAGTTCTCTCTTTTACTTTCAGTTTTGGTATTAATTAATGATGCCCTTAAACTATCATCCATTAACGCAACATTGAGAGCGAAAGGTGTTGTTCATTTGGCAGTCAGTATGGTTTACATTAGCATAGAAGAGTTTTCATAATATGAATTAAAAATATATTATAAAAAATTTACAACTATTTTTTTTTTTTAATAATTAACTTTCACGTAATAAAATTTAGTTGAACATCCAAACAATAACCAAGTTTATTTTCATAGATTTTTTTATAATAATTAATAAAACTAGAAACAAGTCTATAGAGCTTAACTTACCTCCTGCACAGTAGGTTTAATGTCTGCAGAAGTAGGCAGCAAAGTTAAGAAACAGAAGAAGATACTGATGAAAGATTGAAACAGATATATAAAGCTTGCAATAAAGGTGCTGGAGAAGACTTTGGCCATGATTAGAATATGGATGACCAAAAATGGAATCTCAGCTTACAGAAAAAAATCAACAATAATGAAACCAACTCGTCTGATAATCCTGTTGAGTTTGATGAAGCAATGGACATTGTTGAAGTGGCACCAGAGACAAGGCAATTCTTTGATGATAGGCTGGATGTACAGACTGATGAAACTGGAAACAAAGCAGGGAAGTTTCCGAGCCCATTTGATGATAACAGCTATTCAGACCCTTCTCTTGGTTTTGGGCTTGATGTACATGGAAGCTATGCAGAGAAGATTAACATGATCAGTAATGGCAGCAAGGAACCTTGCTCAAAGAAGATAGTATCTTAGCAGGAGAAAAGATGAGCTCAGATGAGAAGTTGTGCAGTAGTGATTAGTGAAGCTGAGAAGGAAGATGATGATGACAGTTTGATCCAGAAAAAGAATCTTGCAATAATACAGGAGCTAGCATTAAATGCAGACAAGAATGGCTCAAGCCCTCATCAAAACCTTGCTTGTGGAAATGAAACAAGCTTGAGCCCATGTGGTGATCAGTCAAACGTTCACATAGGTGTAGGGGAAGGAAGTCATGGACAAGACTGTTTGCTTCATGAAAATGCCCTCGGGAGTGAAAAGAGAAACAACGGTTTTGATTTTGAGGCTGATAAGAATTCAGCTAAAAAGAGAATACAAGAACTGACGATGCTGCTATTGTCAATAGAGGAGCGTATTTTGAAGGCACAAGAAGATGTGGCATTTTATTTTTGACATATTTTTTTTACAGAATCCAAACAAAACTTTGTTTTCTCTATTAAGCTGTAAGATAAATATTTATTTTTTATGTATATCAGCTTGAGATTGGCTATTTAAACATTGATTAAATAGCCATGTGAAATCTCAAAACACACATGCGTCGGTTATGGTCTAAACCGGACACCAAACCAACCCGATACTAAACCAAAAATACATCATATTATTTGTAAACATCTAATTAATCACTAAATTCAAACCAAAATTATTTTCCTTTTCCGATTATATCTGAAAATGCTAAGGAATCTAGTCCAGCTCATCATATTTACAAATAAATTTATTTGCCAACTTTCTTACCAAAAAAAAAATTTTATTTGCCAACGTTTTAGTCAAACGTTCATGCAGTGAACCAAACCAAATATGGCTCTACCAAAAAAAAAAAAAAAAAATTACTTTCATAATTCTTATCGACAATTGGTTTCCCTCAAAAACCAATCAACCAAAGAGCAAGTAAAAAAAAAAACACCACCTCTCTCAATACTCTCATACACTTCTTTAGCACCTCACACTCTCAAGCTCTTCTTCACCACCTCCACTGATGCTTCCTTGCCAGATTCTCTCGGCCCCTTCCCCACAACGGAAGGCTCTGTCCTCAACTGTTACCTTCAAGGGTTGGAGAGTTCCACAGTGGAACTATAAGTCATGGGTTGAAAAGATGATTTCTTCCCACGAAGCCGTCTGGAGAAAAGCTGGAATCCTCGACGCCGTTGTTGCATCTACGCGAAAGATCATCAGAAACGCAGATCTCGTTCTGGGTATTGCTGAGAAATGGTGTCCTGAAACCAAAACCTTCGTCTTTCCCTGGGGTGAAGCTACCATAACCCTTGAAGACGTTATGTTGCTTTCGGGGTTCTCTGTTTTGGGCACACCTTTTTTTGCTACTTTGGATAGCTCCGGGGAGAGGATTCTGAAGAACCTAAGAGACGAATGGTGGGAGATTCGACGAAGAGGTAATGTCTCTTGGGTAACACAAAAGACATGGATGGATAGATTCATGAACGCTGGTGATGAACTAGAGCATGTAGGGTTCCTTTCTTTGTGGCTTAGCTACTTTGTGTTCCCATCAGGCTTCCCAAATGTCTATCAAGCGGTATTCCCAATTGCTGTTCATCTTGCTAGGGGTACTAGGGTTGCTCTTGGTCCGCCTGTTCTTGCTCAGTTGTATGCAGACCTAGCTCTCTTGCAGAAACACATCAGAGATTCAAGCAAAGAGGACACTGCTGTTGCCAACATTGGTGTGACTGCCTTGTTTAAGTTGCTTCAGGTTTGGACATGGGAGAGATTCAAGGAACTACAGCCACAACCTAATCTGTTGCTAAAAGCTGATCAGCCAAGATTGGCTCTTTGGAGTGACCTGAAACAAGAAACCACTGATGCGAGACAGATCCTGGAAAACTCGGAAATGGACAGTTTTGAGTGGCGTCCCTACACAAAAACTGTGGGAAACTGGAAATTTCCTCAGTTTTACCCAGAGAAAGCTATGTCGGTTCCTGTTTCTCCGAGTCTTGATGATGAATTCATCTCCTTTGCTCGTTGCATCAAGGTGTCTCTCCTTGTTGGAATGGATAACGTGGAGTCTTACTTCCCCAATAGAGTGGCTTCACAGTTTGGGATGCTTCAGGATATTCCTTCTATTGTTCCCCCGAACAACCTTTCAGAGGAGGCAGCTTGGAATGATTATAATAAGCCTATCAGTGCTATGGAACTATACATTCCTTCCCGTTCTACAGAACCTCGTTTTACTCCAACGTTCAGTGAGTGGTGGGGGAAGACGTTTCCAGAGTTACAGTATTCTTCTAAGGAGAAGAGTATTGTTGTATATGCTGGAACCTCGAAGACAAGAAACATCATAGGTGATAATCATTGTACTAGCATTGTTCCTTCAGGCTCCATGATGAACATCACAAGTGATAAGGATGATGAAATGAGTGTTGCTGAGTACTTAAACAGGAAACGCAAGTGCATGGAGCAAGCTCATGTCTGGAGAGGCAAGCGCACGAATCAAGCTCGTAAGAAGAGAGGTAAGTACATGTTTCTATCTCATGGAATAGGTAAAAATGAATCAGCTGGGACATTGAGTTTAAGAAACACCGTAGGTGATGATCATAGTAGTGTTGTGTTTTCAGGCTCTAAAAATGTGGCTGATGGAAATGGATGCAAGGCAGGAAATGATATTGCTATGACCCCTTTTGTTGAAAAGAACTCTTCTGATCCTCCCCTTAGTGCTAATGAAGGAGTACGTGACACTGTTGTGCATGGAAGCAATGCAGATATGATGGATGATGGTAGCAAGGAACCAAAATTTTCCCCTAAAAATTTCCCGCCAAAATTTTCCCGCCAAAAATATTTCCGAGAAAAAATTTCCTGCCAAAATTTTCCCCCAAAAATTTTCCGCCAAAATTTTCCCGCCAAAAATATTTCCGAGAAAAAATTTCCCGCCAAAAAATTTTCCGAGAAAATTTTCCCGCCAAAATAATTTCCGCAAAAATTTTCCTGCAAAAAAATTATTTTTTCAAAATTTTCCCGCCAAAATCTTTTTAAAAGGTTTACAAGATTTTTTAAAGGGTCTTTTAAAGGGTTTACAAGGGTTTTTAAAGGGATTTACAAGAGTTTGTAAATGGTTTTTAAAGGGTTTTAGAAGCTTACAAAGGTTTTTAATGGTTTTTAAATGATTAAAAATGGTTTTTAAAAGTCTTTATATGTTTATAACGGTTTTAAAATAATTTATAAGGATTTTTAAAGGATTTTAAAAATTTACAAGGATTTTTAAAGGATTTACAAGTGTTTTTAAAAGGATTTAAAAGTGTATTTAAAGGCATACAAAGATTTAAAAATAGTTTTTAAGGATTTACAAGAAGTTTAAAGGGTTTTAGAAGTTTACAAAGGTTTTTGAAGGGTTTACAAAAGTTTTTAAAGGTATTACAAGTTCTTTAAAATGGGTTTTAAGGATTTACAAGGGTTTTTAAAGGGTTTTAGAAGTTTACAAAAGCGTTTATTAAATGATTTGTCACGGTTATAAGGGGTTTAAAGGGATTTACAGTGTTTATAAATGTTATAAAATGATTTATAATGGTTTTAAAAGGTTTACTCAAGTTTTGAAAGGTTTTGGATGACTTTTAAAAGATTTACAAGGGTTTTTAAAGGATTTTTTAAGGGACTTAAAAATATTTACAAGGTTTTTTAAGGAATTACGGAAAAATTTTGGCGGAAAAATTTTTGCCGGAAATTTTTGCCGGAAAAATTTGGCGGGAAATTTTTCGGAAGGAATATTCTTTTTGTTGGAAAGGATATTCTTTTCTTTATCATGGGTTATAGTAAAGGAGGGTAATTTAGTCATTTTGTACATTGAAGATGGTATTTTTGAAAATGGACACTTAGAAAGGGTACTTGTAGAAAAGGGTATCATAAAAAGGTTAGTTGTGCAAATCCCCCATGTTTTATTGTATATCATGGCTATCCCTTAATTTTTTTTGTTGTTAAAAAAAATCAGATTTCATTTAAAAAAAATTATTAAATTTTAACATAACTTTCTTTTTTTATCAAATAGAAACATATGATTTTGGTCATAAATTCTGTCAACCAATAAATCCTCTCTAAATCTGTCAAACATAAATAAAAAATTAAATGTTTGGTTCTTGGAAATAAAAACAAAATTTGATAAGTTTTCAATTTTTTTACTGTCTTTTTTTACTTTCATCTCTTTTAAAATTCACATTGCAGCAAAAGGAGA